ATCTGGATGTTCTATTACTGAATAAGAGATGCATGTGCGTTGATGTAAGCTCGTATGCATCTGGATGTTCTATTACTGGACAGAACCACTACAATTTATTTGTGTCAATTGGAGTTTCTATTGTTTACCTTACTTCATTCATGCATGCATTTTTAGCTTCCTTACTTGTTGAGAATATGTATATCCTTACACTCTATAAGCAAAACATATTTTACACGAACAATGCAAATCTTTATTTTATTTTTTTTTGCAATTCACACATGCATCCTCTATATTTCTTTACATTACTCAAATCTAATGCACTTCTGGTGAGAGAGTTTGTTTCGTAAACATGTTTAAATTTCATATTTATTTTAAAACACCCAATTCAACCCCTACCCTGGGTGCGCATACTTACCAACACTAGGCATCATTACATGTCCTATATTTCAACAATTCTGGATTCACCAAAACCATGTCCCATGCCTAACATCCGATATGGAAAGTTCCTCTTGATGAGTTTTGCAATGAGAAGAATCATAGATAAGTAGGGTACAGCCAAAAGCTAAACACTGATGAGTACATATCATCTTTACATGCTAACTTGGTCAGTCGAAATGAACCAATTGAAATGAAAATTTAAAATAAATCTATTTTATTTATGTCTTGGCTTTAACGAAAAATAATAATAAAAAAAAAATTAAGAAAAAAATGTGCACTATTCAATGAATAAGAGTTGAGAGTTGTTTTTTCTGCCAGAGATGTATCTACTGCTACAAAGGTTGCATCTGAGCTTAATAAAATTCTGCTTTACCTTACACTAGTAAATATGAAAAAAAAGAGCAATTAAGAGACCATTGCAATACATATCAATTTATTGAAATTTCCAATTATACAAAAACAAAAAGATCAGATAAAATTCCATATTTTATTATATTTAACTTTCCCTATTTTACTGCAGACCAAGACAAGACATTAGATACATTGGTCAAACTTGATACAATGTTTAAAATCCTGTTATTCAATGGCCAAAAAAATTGCTGTTCCAGTTATTTGACGATAGAGATACCAACATAAAGACTTCAAAATCTAAATTTTTCCCCAAGAGCATTTTTCATCTTACAGAAATCAATAGTTATCACAGCTAAATTCTATAAACCCCCATAAGTTCAGCAAATTGAACAACAACACTTGCACATTAACGGCACTTGTCAACCTAATAGGACCTTAATATCTACATGAGATGCATTTACATAGCAAGTACTATTTAAGAGATAAAACATGATGGAAACAATCTGGGTTCTTCCACTCCATAGTTAATTCTTTAAATTACCCTAAACTATGTTGAAAGGACTTTTTCTTGCATGGGATGAATACAGCAAGAACATATGACAAGCCTTACGCTGGAAAAAGAAAGACTGTTTTAGACAATCAATATGACAAGCCTTACGCTGGAAAAAGAAAGACTGTTTTAGACAATCAACCCACCAATTCACCAGAAAGTAACGACTTCATTCTCTTTTAATTTTATTTTCGTTTTCTTTTCTTTTTTGCATAGTAATCAGTTAATCCTAGCAAGTAGTCCCTGGATGTTAAAAAAAACTGACAATAGAAAGTTGCACGCAAATGCATTTCTATACCACTGCAGTTAATGTATTCAAGTTAGAATGAAATAAGCATAAAAAGTGGTAAAAAAATACAACAAAAACCTGCTGTCAGAAAAAAAAAATTGTATTAAATTATCTTAGTTGGCAAAAAGATATGAAAGTAACAAAGAACCTCATTACCAACATTACTTCAAACTATACTGTAAAAGGATTGTAAGTGTATTGCTATCTTACTAAGAAACTCATTTTAAGAGTTTAAATCAAATTGCAAGACAGAGTTCTGTTAGTAAGGAGGCCTTCAACGAAGGACATCATTAGAACATTACGCAACAACAACAACAAAGCCTTAATACCACTATGTTAACGGAAGTAAAATTTTGACAACAGAAAATTAATTCGAGTCACCAAAACAACAGCTTTGGCCATTACCTTGATTGAAAAAAATGAAAATAATTGCCCGTAAGGATCCCCAATTAGGAAATTTGAGAATGCTCCATCAATGTCATCAAACAATCTTTTTTTAATTATTTTCAAAAAATAAAAAGCAATTTAATTTTAGAAACTCGTTACCACAAAAAATTCACCGAAGTATATGTCAAGATTAGCCATCACACAACCACATCCAAAATTACTATGGCAATCACTATATTTCCATTGTAATGCCATTTCATATTAAATTTTGTGCGCTAGAAACTAAAAATTTTAAAAACTTCAACTATGCCATCTTATCATCATTTCAAAAACTCGTCTAAGTGCATGTCAAAACAAAAAACAAAATCCTCACATTGCTTTATATATTTCTAAAGTAATAAAGTTCCACGAGATATTAAAGCATGTAAACATACCACAATTGTTACATATACCAAGGCATTCTAGTTCCATATATGTCAAAACACCAATATCAAAACATAAAGAAAAAGTAAGCTCCAATTGATAGACGGTAAATCTAGAAAGTTCACAATTGAGAAATTAAATTCAATTTGTCATCCAATATACAAATGCTCAAAACAAATAACAATGAATTGAACCTAAGCAGTGGAAATTGTTTGTACGTTGGTTAGTGAGTTTCTGACAATCAATCTCCAAAGCTATTAAAAAGGCTAAATTGTTGGTGTAAATTTTGAAATTGTGGCTTTTGTGATCCCATTTCAATTGGATTATGTTTCTAATGGCTTGTCTAATGTGGCTCTTTTGCATTGCACGAAAATCATGTGGAAGAACGTGGAAAACAACATACTTTCAATTAGAGTTATTTATGGGACATTGAATAGTTCATCCATGAGAGAGCATGTTGTTCAGTCAAGAGATTATAAAACTTAGTTAAGATACTTCATCAATCTTATCTGCCAACCTAGGCTGACAATTCTATGCATAGTGGTGTAGAGCATCTAATTCATAACAAAATTAATCTTTCCAATTTGAATCTTATACGAACAATTTGCATGTGTTGCCTTCAAATGATGTAAAAGTAGGAGCGTCTAGTCATCTTCTTGCAAAAGTGTGGGTCTTGATATTCATTTATTTTGGCAATTTTGTTCCTTATATATTTCTTTAAGGTAATTTATTCATGGCTACTTCAGAGCTTTTAATATCGAACAAAAGGTGACAAGCCAAAACATGATTATGAAAATTAACTTGTTTGATATTACATTTTGTTTCCAAATTCTTGTTGAAGCTATCAAATATTTAAGATCATTTCATCATAAATTAGGCTTAAACTCTACAAAAACATGTTTTCATTTAAACGAAGAAGTTGGTGTAATTGAAGCATGTGAACTGTGAATTCTCTATTTTCCTTAGCATAAAAGCATCATATGCATCATAATAAGTGCATTAAAAAACCTAACCAACATTAATCTTGCATCACCCAATCATTAATATCACGTAACAATGGCTCCATCTCTGGATTGTACAAATTATGTTCCACCACAAAAGGATGCCCATTTTCATTACTGTTAAAGAGCAAGCCATCACGCACTTTAAAAACAAAGTGATGCAAAGAAAACATCATGTGTGCTTTAAAAATACAACTTTATGACATGGTTATTGTTTTCCAAACCTTTCTTATTTACTAGGTCTCCTACACCACAGTTTCCATCTTTGAAATCAAGATTGCATCACATTATTGTTTACTGCAGATCTTCATTGATTTTTAAATTTCTTCATTGCAGTGCAACCATCATATGTTTTTAAATGAAAACAAAAGTGTGCTTCAACGTATCATTTCTCAGTAACCTTGTTGATGCAAATATCATAAGTACTTGTAGTTTGTAAAGTATACATTTACGTTTTACAGAAGGAATAGTGAAGTTGTGTACTAAGTTTAAACTTTCAATAACTACATTTTTTTCTTAAAAATATATATCCTTCAAATCGCTTAGTGCTACGATTCGCTAATAACACTCAACCAAATTTGGTTAATTAGCGTTGTCTAACAATATAAGTACTTAAAATTTCTTATATAATAGTTTTTCTTAAAATTTTTAGCATTCCCACTTAATAAATGATGTAATAAATGAAAATTTCCTAAGCTCCTCTTTCCTCTAAAAGTTGCACTTTGAAGCAAATAGTCTATTTGTGCTTTGCTCAGTGAGAGTATTTATAACAAAACAAGCTATAGAAAAGTTAGCTCTGCTGGAAATTTAATATAATTTGATTTGAGTCAACTACACTTGAAATAATTTGATTTTGAGTTCAATCAAAATTGATATTGAATTGATTCCAAATTGATTTATATAGACACGTGTGGGCTCGCATACACAAAATAAACTATACGTAATCATGTTTTCTGTGTTTATGTGAATAATCTACTCACATTTTGAGTCAGCTTTAATTGTATTTAAGTGAGTTTGTCTAGAATTTGAGTCTATAGTAGAAGTCAAAGTTTACTATAAATCAAGCAGCCTTGATTTCAAATCAATATTTGATAGACTTCAATCTACAATTTTTAAAAAGCCCTGCTATGCATATTGAGCTTTGAAAACCCCTCTCATGGTTTTCATGATATAGACCTTGGTATAAAATGCAATATTGCAATTTTAACAATCATGAGAAGCTCCAAGATGGTTAACAAGCATGCATGTACAAAGCATTTGGCATTAATAAATGGCACGAGAGAGAGCAAAAACAAGATGATAGTAAGAGAATATGCAAAGTAATTGACATGCAGGAACCTTTAATAAATAATAGCCTTTAACAAACTATCATAATGCTAGAGCCCAGTACATGAGGAAAAAATATAATAAAATTTATGTCAAAAGACATCAAACAAAAAAATAGTTATGCATAATATAGCTACAAACCTATCCATGAAACCAAAACAAGTGTTTGTCAGGACTCCGTGCAGTGCAAAAAAGAAATGCTTAGAGTGATAAAGAAAATTGCACTAGTTGCATACCAACTCTCGGTTCTTACCTACTGACCCGTGGAAGAACCTAAACCACCCGCATGATTAAAGCCTTGTTGGTTCCACGCATTTCCCTGCCCCACTGCTGCATTGCCATGGCTTCCATGAATCCTCAATGATGCTCCATGGCCACCCACCGCACCTGGTTTCACGTAACCCCCGGCTCCTCTTGCTTGATTCCCAAGTGCAGAATTTGCCGCAAGCCCCGCATTTTTTACCCCAAGCCCTGCATAACCAAGGTTACGTAAAATATTAGTCAGAACAAGTCTTGCCATTTGCGTTTCACGTAATGCACTCAAATCCTTACCTAAAGCTGGATTAGATTGGCCTGCCTGGTTAAAACGTATGCCAGGGGGAGCTATTAGGTGCCCTGGGCCAGAAACTGAAGAGGGCAAACCACCCATTGCCACAGTCCCCTGCGCTCCAAACCCGCCCTTTAACTGCTGCATGCCAGCAAATTGCCCACCGCCATGGTAAAGATGAGCCCCTTGTTTGCTAAGCTTTGGACCATCAATCGCCCTCTGGCAGTGCAATATATTCCCTTCGAAGTTCTTATGCGGTTCTTCCAATGCCTTCTTTGCACTCTCAGCAGTCTTGTAAACAAATAGGCAGAATCCCTTAGGTTTTCCTGTTGCTTTGTCCAGCCCTAAAGGCCCTTCCTCTATCTCCCCAAACTTTGAAAAGAATTGAAGAACCTTATTAGGGTCAAGCTCAGCTCCCACATTGCTGACATAGATCTTCCGTTGAGTGTACTCGGATGGCAAAAAGCCCTGCGGAGGATGAAGAAATGCAGGAGTTTGAGCAGAGGGAGGCGGAGGGCCCTCCGATGCTAACTGGCATGCAGTCATCTTATTACCGATTTTCTTCTGCGGCTCCTTTAACGCTCGGCGAGCGGAACTCCTCTGCTTGAAAAGGATGAAGCCGTAACCCTTGGACCTGCCGGTGATTTTGTCAACGATAGCGTTGCATTCCTCGATCTCTCCATATTGCCGAAACGCCTCGATGAGAGTTTCAGCTGAAGTGTTCCAACCGAGGCCGTGTACAAAGACCTTTCTGTGAGCAGGATCGTGGTCTGCGATCTGTTTGATTGACGCCCAGATATCCGGATGCTTCAAGGCAGCGTCGCGGAGTATATCGATCACCTGTTCCTTGCTGAAAGGTTCAAGAAGCATCTGCAAGGACTCCGGGTTATTATCCTCATCGTCTTCGTGATCGTCGGCGAAAGGGACCTCGCCAGCAACAGAAGTATTCGGATCTGGATCTGCGGTTTCTAGGGTTAGAGGTTCGGTATCTTCCTCGATGAGTGACGGTTCGTCGATTGGTTCTCCGATCTCCTGCGGCCAAGATACTTCGGTTTTGGGTTCAATGAGTAAGGAAGTATCAGACTCCGGCGGCCATACTTCGGTTTTCGGTTCAATGAGTATGGGAGCATCAGACTCCGGTGGCCAAGATACTTCGGTTTTGGGTTGAATGATTAAGGGAGTATCTGATTCTTTCTCGAAGGGTGATTCCTCGTGGACAGATACCTGTTCTTCGGAAGCATCGGAGGCGGCGGGAGATGGCATGCCCTCCTCCAGCTTTCGTTTCTTTCCCATGGCAGCGACCTGAAAAGTTATTAGGGTTTCGAAATTGAACTGCCTTATGCAAGAGACGAATATATATATATATTATCTTATGATTGGAGTAGTATTATTTAACCGATTATGATGCCTTTCAATTTTATTGGATTTTTCTTTATTAGTGTTTTTTTGGTACATTCTAACCATTTTTTTTGTCATGATATTTTGTCTTTTAGAGTCATTATTCATAATGAAATTTTAATATTTAAGAAAATACTTATTTATAATAATATTTAAAATTAGGGTTTGTTGAAAAATTGTTGAAAAAATTTTGTTCAGCAGCAGCTGTGCAAAAGAACTGTTGGAAGAAGTTATGACTGTTTTTACTATATTGTTGTATTACAACTATTTACAATAATAATAGATTTTTGTTCTTATATTTTTTTTTGTCGTTCATAAGATATTCATTTCACCCTTAATCTTTCATGTATAAAAACATAAATTACATTTAAAATCCTTAAAAAATCATAAAATTGAATATTATATCTAGAAGTGACATCTCACTTGACAGTGAGCAGCACAATAATTTAAATCAAAATAAAATATTAAAACAATAATTAATATTATCAAAATATTAATTTTGAAATGTATTTGATCAATTGTACATGAACTTACTCTTAGAAGATATTTGCCACGTTTGAACACCATCTGAGGTTGAATTATCAAACTGATAAAATCACCTAAAAAAATCAGTGTTATACTAATCTACTCTTTCGACACTTGCAAATTTTTCTTTCATAGTTGTTGTTTTCTTAATGAGGTAGGTTGATAACACCATAATTCACAGTTGCAGTACAAGACTCTAGAAACACATGAATTTTTAGAGTTTGTAATTAATAGAAGTTGAAATTCATAAACATAAATTTAGCTTGCTTGAATCGTTCAACGATGCAACTATACAAAAAATCAAAGAATAAGAATAATATAAATACTTATATAAGGATTTATAAAACTGTGAGACGTCATAGCAAATATAAATCGACGAGAAATGTGTCATTAATATAAGACAATGGACTTTAAATAAATGGGAAATTCATTTTCTTGAAATCGTTTAATATCGCTCGTATACGTCACATGAACATACCAACGTAAGTACGTAACGACCCTCTAGAAAACTCCAATTGTCATATTAATAAAAAGAAAGGGGAAGGAGGATATTGGTTGTTGTGATATCGATCTCATATATGTCAAAATTCATAGAACATAAAGTTCATTTAGAAACCCCCTAAGGTTATATATCCCATCAATGACCTCCAAACAAAAAAAAGTAACACACACAAACACACACACACACAAACACACACACACACACACACACACACATATATAT